AATCGTATCACGATTTGAGAAGAAATAAGTTTTGCTCATTTCTTACAGTTTATTCTGAAGGTCCTCAGCCAGTGGAAGGATCTGAGTTAATAAACGCTGATATTTTTGTACGATAGACAAATCAAATTAAAGTTGCATCCCATCCACACTCCTCCCAACTCCTCCAGCTCCATCCTCACATGTTCGGTGGGTTTGTTGAGACACGCCTACATCTGTGTGATTCATGTTTTCTCTACAGCACCCCGATAAATTCACTGTAGTTTCAAAGCGTAGTTAGATTGCCACTGTCACTTTGCACGAATTACCTACTTCAATTATCCTCCTCCCGTCTGATTGCTTCCCATTGGAGGAGGAGGAGCAGATGGCGAAAGCAAACACTGTCGTAGTTTGTACCCGTAGTCCTGCTGAATCCAGCCCAGTCGAGGCGCGCTGAGTCAATAAGAGCTACTGCACGCATCAATCATTAATAGAAAACACTGAAAAAGGGGCTTTAAGTTCAGAAGACTTGTGTGCCTTAAATCCTCCTGTGGGTTTTTGGGGGAATGTTTTGTTAAATGTCTAGTGCATGCGAGAGCGAGTGAGTCGGGATGTGGTGTGGTTAAAGGCAGTGGCGCTGAACTCCATGTTTAGCTCCATCAAACTAGAATTAAAGACTGGATTGAGATGTACACGGACACATGCTTTTAATCTGCAAAGAACAAGGGGGAGGAGTTGTTGTGGGCATTCTGGTTAAACATAAGAAGCAAAAAAAAAAGGGGCAGAAACAATAAGAAGAAAAAAGGAAATAAATTACAGTTTGCATCAATCTTATTGAGTTAAAATCCTGAACTTCATTAAGTTACCTCAACTGGAATTTAGTTTCAAATCAACAAAAGCTGAAATTAGAGTTTAACCTCTTAAGACCTGGGTCATATTACCACAGTAGTTATTTTTAGTTTTTATTAATTTTTAAAAAATTATTAATTTAATGTGTTATTTATATTTTTTTCATATATATTTTCTAAAATATTTTGTAACATATTTTTTTTATTTTCTTTATATATTTTTTTAGATCAAAGAGCAAAGAGATGCAAGTACCAACATTATTATATCAACCCATCAAAATACTGTCAGTGAATTAAACTCTATTTCCTGGACAGGTTAAACCGACAGTTTAATGTCACTTTTCAAGGAGAAAGTCTAATAACTTCATGATTACGGCTTTTCAGATCCAATCACTTGCTGCTTTTGTTTATCTTGATTTGTAGCAAACAGCACATTTATGTTTTTTTTGGTTATTTATCGGCGCAATATGTCGTTTTGGTGTCTGGGGACCAGCGCTAGCATCTCTGCTGATGGAGACCAAATGATCAACTTGTTCACAACACAACCAGCAGATGGATTAATAACCGTTAGCTGCAGCCAGAGTTGAGAGTGAGTGGGACAAATGGGAAGACGGGTCGACAGCGAGGTGGTAGCTGCTGCTGGTTTAGGGATCAACTGTGACCTCCAGCTGATTATGAACTCAGCAGCTCATTACCACTGTGCTTAAGCTGTAAATGCCCGGCATATCTCCAGCAGCTGCTTGTTCCAGTGGGTTTTTGAAAAGGTTGATCCGGACAGGAGCAACACCTCAGAAGAAATATAGCCCAAAAGTGTCAGAGGTCCAGTGTTAAAGTGGTGGATGTTATATCAGGGCAGCAGTCGTGCTTCTGGACTGGGAGCGACTGGATCCATCCCCTAAATACAACCTACAGACTGAGCTCAGGTTACAAGTGAGACTTCATCTCTGCAGGACGAAGAAAAAGCAATCAGGCGCATTCAGAAGTGACTTTATGCCCCGTGTTTAGTTCTGATAACCTGGCTGTCACTGAGACAGCATGTCACATGATGACTTCTTAATATGAGACAACGTCAAGACGACTGGTTGCATCAGGAGCCTTTTATTTTAGTTCATCAGCACAGTTTGAATTTGATCAATGAGGGGATGGAACAGGTTCATTCAACAGAAAGGCACACTCTGGAAAATGTCTGTTTTGTTTTTTTTAAAAAACTGTTTTTTAGCTGTATTTCATTGAACAATTTATTGTTATGTTCCAGATTGTTTTGTTAGATCGCAGACAATATCTGGTCTCATTTACATGTCGACTATAAAAAAAAATCTGATTTCTGAAAATATTGTTCACATCACAAATTGGCTTTTAAAATTTTATTTCATTGTTTATTTTTTGCAAATGATGACTAATTCTTTCACCATATTTGACTGTAAAATTAAATGTATTTAACTGTACTACACTCTATAACACCATCACATTACAGATGCTGCTGCAATTTTTAAGAAAAGAAAACACATGTATTAATGATTAGAAAATGTTATTTTTGTTTTTTAAAACCAGATTTTTCTTGTGTTATCAAATTACAGATAATATCTAATAAAAAATATTACTTTGCATATTAAAAACTAGCCAAACAAACAAACAAACAAACAAAAAATAAGAAGACCAACACAGTAAATAACATCAAAAATATCAAAAATCAGTTTTGTTTTTTTTTTTTACTGGATTTTTTTTTTAACTGTCATTTTACAGATTTTTTCCCCCAGTTTTATTAGATTACAGATGATATTTAATGAAATCACAGAAAAAGTATTTTAAGTTGTCCAATGTTTTTTTTTTTTACTGTTTTTAACCCTCATGTTGTGTTCACCCTGCCTTCGCCCTGAGTCAGCTGGGATAGACTCCACCCCCCTCCGCGACCCTGGTGAGGATTAAGCGGTGTATAGATAATGGATGGATGGATGTTGTGTTCACTTCCTGTCAAACCATTTTGTGTTCCTGGTCAAAAATGACCATAAAGACTCATAAAAACTGTATTCATGCACATGTTATTTGTTGTGTTATATTTTTTTTCTATAACTCCAGTTCTTGTTGACATTACAAGTTTTGAGCTTCCTGTTGTTACGGCCTGTACGCCACATGTAGCTGATGTTACACACCCTGAATTCGAGGTCTAAAAAACATAATTTCTGGATTATTTTGACGATAAGAACTAATCAGATATAACATAGTTGTTCCTGTGTGTGTGTGTGTGTTGAATGTTGAATATGGTGATTTGATTTCAGAACATTTTGGAGTTGATGAAATAAGTGTCACTACTTGGGTTAAACATGATGGCTTTGAGTTTCATCCTGGTTTTGTTGTTTGCACAAATTTTGTTAATGAGATGCCAGAATTCAATAAGACTGTTTGCATTCTTTTAAGAAATGAGATCTATGTTTTGGTGTCAGAAATGGAGACTAGATTTGTTGAGTGTTTACATGTATTTCATGTTGTTGACAAAACACGTTTCAGTTGTAACGCCTCATGGTTTTAGATAAATGCTTTTATTGCAGTAAGTTTTGGAGTGGGCTGCAAGGTGGCTTGGTGGTTAGCACTGTTGCCTCGCAGCAAGAAGGTCGCCGGTTGGCGTCCCGGTGAGGACACCCGGGATCTTTCTGCGTGGAGTCTCCATGTTCTCCCCGTGCAACGTGGGTTCTCTCCATGTTCTCCGGCTTCCTCCCACACAGTCCAGAAACATGTTGAGGTTAATTGGTGATTCTAAATTGTCCGTAGGTGTGAATGTGAGTGTGCTTGGTTGTCTGTCTCTAAGTGTAGCCCTGTGATAGACTGGTTACCTGTCCAGGTGAACCTGCCTTCACCCTGAGTCAGCTGGGATAGACTCCGCTCCCCATGACCCTAGTGAAGATTAAGCGGTGTATAGATGATGGATGGATGTTTTGGAGTGATTGCTGGACATGAGTGGTGGAATGGTTACAAACCAGATTGTAATTTCAACTCTAACAGTGTTGATCTCAGTGGAACATGTACCTGCATCATCAGCATATGCAGCACTACTTAGGTGTGACTTTTAAATAAGATTGGACACCAGCAAGTGTTATCTTTTCAAGTTTTGACTCAATGATTGTCTCCAGAAAGTGAACTTTGAACACCAACTGAGTGGTCTTGACAGTTTTTGTGGTGTTAATATTTTACACTATAAGAGTTTAAGTGACACAGTCATAGTGGTTTAAACACTTTATCAGTGGTTCCCAAAAATGTTAATTTCAACTCTGACAGTGTTAAATTTGCGCTTTCAAGTTTGCTGTGTGGATGCCAGATGTGCACCGTGCGTCCTGGTTGTGCGCGTTCTGGCTGTGAAGGCGCGCGCAGCAGCCACACCGCGTTCATGGCGTCCGTTCCGCGTTCAGCTCCAGAACCTCCTGATCTCCATTCACTTCTTTTTCTCCGCTGATTTAACGGTCCAGAGTGAAGCCTGCACTGTGAGAGGGTGTGCGTGGGGGTGTCTCTGCGCGCCCCTCCCTCCTCTCCGTGCGCCGTCAAAGCGTTCTTTATTTGGTGTTGACGCGCTCAGGATCCGCTGCCCGCCGCGGAGAGACGCACCGGGAGCCTCAGCGCGCAAACACACCGTCTCAAAATGACCGTAGAGAGGATATTCGACGAGCTCGGACATTTCAAAAGGTACAGAGAGGATTTGTTCTCTCTCTTTTTTTTTTCCTCCACACTTTGGCTCTCTGGGTGAATATTTGCTTTGTTCTGGGGGCATCACCAAGCAGCAGCCAGTTGGGCAGCTTTGGAACAGTGAGGCGGCCGCAAGTTATTTTTATTCCTGGTTACAGATGCGATTTTGAAAGCAAACACTAAAAACAACAAGGGGTCGCGTTCCATTTTTTATTTCTACATGTGTTTTCTCTCACATGCGTGTTTCAGAGGCTTCACCAGAGGAGCTGCTCTGTCCTCTTTGGAGACTTTTATTTACTTAGAACTGCATAACTTCTGGAAATGTATGACTGATGGCAGTTTTTCCTTCCTTTCTCTAAATGTCCTCACAAAATACACCTCAGATACCTGTTTTATGCCTGACAACAAGTTGTGTTTTTCCCATTAGGACTCAAATTTTTAAAACTAAACACGGCATTTTTGTGCAAATCAATGTGTTTTGGATGTAAATGTAAAGTAGGAGATCATCAACTGTCCACATTAAAGCTGATTCATAAATAAGTGGCTTTAAGACCCATCTGAAGATCAAATGTTTACCCATAAACGTCCTCGGAGGAGTTTTATTGTTTCCTTCATGGCACTTAAAGTAGAAGCCGAGCTAAACACACATCCGTTGACATGTTTTTTTTTGAAAAGTTTTCCTTTAAATCCTATTTTTAGTCAGTAGCAAGTGATTGCTTTTTGTTTTTTCACTTCCAACGTGACTACATGTTCAAAATATGTGTGCACTCATGAACCAGAGAGACTCAAAGAAGAAGGAATTCTGTATGTATGTAAAATGTACCTTCTCCAGTAAAGTGTTGACAAATGGAGCTCCGTGGGTTTCATTTCTATGGCTGTTATCTTTTTGGAGTTAAACAGGATACCAGAATGCCTGCTACCTTTAGTCTCCCCTCCAGCTCTTGCATCAGCACATGTCCATATGTTTTCTCTCTCTCTCCAGATTTCAGGCGTGTCTGTACTTTGCAGCAGTCTTCCAGGCCGTGGCTTGTGGGATCCACTACCTGGCCTCTGTGTTCCTGGTGGAGACTCCAAACTTTGTCAGCAGCGTGCCCGGCAACATCACCGATGTCCTGTACGGCAACGTGACGGCGTCCAGTCTGGAAGATGTCCTGCCGGGCTTCAAATCAGGGAAAGGACCTCTGGTGGTCCGGACAGCCGAAGGAGAGCAGTGGGAGCTGAGCCGATGCCGCTGCGCCCTGCGAATCGACCCCAGGGACTTTACCTACGACTTTGATGGCAACAAAACGGTGAAAGCGTGCGGTGGCGGCTTTGTGTTCGACCACACTGAAGTGTACCAAAGCATCGTGACGGACTGGGACTTGGTGTGCGACAGAGAGTGGCTGGCCAAGCTGTGCCAGCCCACCTTCATGCTGGGGGTGCTGATCGGAGCGCTGGTGTTTGGGGACATCGCTGACAGGTGAGATGGAGAACACATCCTACCACACATGGAGCTTCACCATATTAGGACGTTCTCTTCACAGCCACTGGAGACTGCAGCCGGAGCAGTTTGTCTTTGTAATTGATGTGATGAACTCCGTGAGACGTGTTTGCTGTCCTGCCACGACATTAAACACGATACTGTTGTCTCTCATTGTCCGTGGTTCATGTGCAAACACACGATGGCCTCATAAGCTGGATGATTAGAGTGACCGGAGCAGGAAAAGGGGAAACTAGGTGCTGATGGCGGTTTAGCGGCAGAAAGAAAAGGACTGAAGGAAAGTAACCAGGGCGCTATAAGAACCTGGGTTCAGTTTAGACGGACCAGGTGACTGTCAGTCTAGCTGTAGGGGAGTACAGTACACATGATGTGGGCCCAGACATATCTTATAATGGATTACAGAGAGTTAATTACTGATGCCATCGTCATGACAACACGTTGTACCTTTTCTTGTGTTTTATGCTTTTTATGCATCAGGAAGGAATCTTTTACCAACACTTTACAGGTCCTCAGACTTTGGTCACGTAAAATGATCCACAGTGACTAACGGCTGAATGCATTCATTGTGTGGGTCTCGTCAAAGTCGTGGCTCCCACGGCTCACATCAGGAGGTCAAGGTTTGCTTGCTAATAGCTGCCAGGTATACTAAGCTATGAAAGGACTGCCTTTGGATTGTAGTGCTGTGGTCTGTTTAATGGTAGAACAGAGCTGGATGGTGTTGATGCTGAGGTCAGTCAATAAAGTACGAAGCAAAGCCTCGATCAGGAAGTAGTTTGGTAGCGGATTAGTGCTTCAAGTCATTTTCTCGAGACACCTAATCAGTTAATTGAGAAAATAATCAGTAGACATACATTCTGCAGCTCCATCCAAACATGTGATCTGCTCCTTGCAGCATCATGGCGGATCCTCCACTGCTCTGACAAATGGACAATCCCTCTTTAACTGGTTTCTCACCTGAACATGAACATGTTTTCCTCTCTGTCCCTCTGCTTGTCCATCTATCAACTTTTCCTCCACCAGAGTTGGTCGTGTGAGGATTCTGATGTTCACCAGCCTCTGTCAGTTCGGCCTCGGGGTGGCTGTCGCCTTCTCTGGAAACTACTACTTTTTCGTGGTGCTCCGCTTCCTCCTCGCCATGGTGGGTTCAGCATGTGTGCCCTGTTGTAATGTGTATGGATGTAAACATATCTGCATGTGTCTGTGAGAGAAATGTCAAGTCAGAGCTGCTGCTGAAAGCCAACGCGGGACAACAGAGGTGACTTATTTCCTGCTTGTAAAACAGCCACATGTCTCCAGATTGACTTTGCGCCTAGTTTTTGCAAGTTTCTCTATGAAACAATCTCTCAGCCAATTGCTTTTATTCTCTGTGGATGTATCTGGAGCCGCCTCCTGTTAGTCACATTGCAGTTAAGCCAAACCAAAGCAAGATGTTTAGTCCTGCTGTGTGTAGTTAAATGTGACTAACTGGAACTCTGATTAGGCCTTTATTTGGACACTTTTTCATTCGGAGAAGCTGTTTGGCTTTGAAATAGGTGCCAAGGGCAGAATCTTAAGCAAAGATACCGGCATAAATATGACATAATATATCTGAGGTGAGATAAGTGACTAAAATAGAAACATCAGATTACATCTTGCAAGTCACATGAGATCCTATGTCCTGGTCCTGCAACGTCATTTGATGCACACAAAGGCAATCATAAGGACTACACAGCAGTAGAAACAGTGGAGACAAGTGAGTCCAGCGTGTCTATTTATGTTGCGTGTTTGTGTTTATGTGTTGCGTGATACATGCATGAAAGAATGTGTTTACAAGCCACAGGAAGAAAGTCTTGATGAAGAAAAGCCGGCGTGGCAGTAAAGTTGTGCTCAAAGAGCCACTTCAGTCCGATCAGGATTTCACTTCTCCCCGTCTCCTACCATCCCCCTCCGCCAGGCCTCCTCGGCTACAGCTGTTGTTTTTCACATAGAATCAGACTCCCAGATAGTGTGATACTGCACAGCCGCACGCTGACGCCACACGATGGGCCTCCGCAGACGTATAGTCAAGCTGCTCGTGTGAGTTCTACAGCTACCTGTTGGAGGTTCTGTAAACAACACGATTCTTCATCATTTTCAACTTCATAGCAAGACTTTGTCACTTCTAAAAGATGCAATGACACGATTCTTTTGCAGAGTTCACTAGGGATAGGAACAGAGGCTTTACTTAGTGTGGCGTGTTAGGAAGCTTTATATAGATGTAGGTGTGTGACCGTTTGTTATGTTTCTTTTCTACTTGGGCTGTTCTGACATTTAGCGTTATTCCACAGTGGCTTCTTGTGGGTTTAGTGGCTGCTGATTAGTAAAAGTTACACGGATGGAATATGTGGTCAACAACTATTTAAATACAACCAAACACTGTGCTCATAAATGCCATTCAGCATCACACTCCGATTATCTTTCTGATTATCTGTATCGTTATTCCTAAATTAAATGCATTACTTTGGGTCTGATGAAGCTGCCTCTCTCCGTCTGTAATCACTCTGTGGGCTCAACAACTTCTCTCGAGCAGAGACACAACCCACAGAAACTGAACAGGAAACACAAGCTATTGCCAGACACCAGGAAATGTACTGCTTTCATAATAGATTAGGCGACACTAAGTTAGGCGGTAGACTCAGATAAACAGTGTCTGGAAAGCAATAATGAATAATGCTTTAAGATAGGAACCTTAGCGGGCAATACAAGTGAAGGAGCAGAAAAGGATGAAGAAAACAGTGAAGAACAGCAGACGGACAGGTAACCAGTCTATCACAGGGCTACACTTAGAGACAGACAAGCAAGCACACTCACATTCACACCTTGCTGTAACCACCGTGCAGCCGCTGCATTGATGTTGGTCCTGAAAAAGCCCATGTTGGTCAATCCCTAAACCAATCCTTCATCTCCCTCTTTCTTTCTTCCTTTCTTTTATCTTCCCATGTTTTGCTTTTGGCAGGTGTCCAGTGGCTACCTGGTGGTGGTGTTTGTCTACGTGACAGAGTTCACCGGCATCAAGGTGCGCACATGGACGTCTATGCACGTGCACGCGGCCTTTGCAGTCGGCATCATGGTGGTGGCTCTGACCGGGTACCTGGTGCGGGTCTGGTGGATCTACCAGATCGTCCTCTCCACTTGCACCTCGCCCTTCCTGTTCTTCTGCTGGAAGTTCCCCGAGACGCCGTTTTACCTGATGGCCAAGGGCCGCTACAAGGACACTCAGAATCTGCTAGATAGGATGGCCCACTTCAACGGCCTCCAGTGCAGGCTGAGGGCAGAAGATCTTCTGGAACCGGAGAAGAGAGAGAACGGCAGAGCTCTGCTGGAGCAGGAGGCGGCGCAGCAACGGCCGTCGCAGCCCGAAAAGAAGCTGTCCATCCTGGACCTGTTCGGTAGCTGGAGGATGGCGGGTCGCACCTGCACCGTGTGGGCCATTTGGTTCATCGGCAGCCTGGGCTACTACGTCTTCTCTCTGGGCTCAGTCAACCTGGGAGGAAACCAGTATGTTAACCTCTTCCTTGCTGGTACGTAACTTTCTGATGAGTGTGAATGTGTTTGAAAATATGAGGAAACTGGTGGGAATGAGTTTAGACTCATCCCAGTGCGGTCTGTATTTGTGGTTTTATATGGATTTGGCAACAGTTGTGACTGTTGTAGCTCTTTTTAACCTTTAACTCTGATATAGTGTGAGCTCCGTCAGTATTTTTCAGTAATTTAACAACAAATCTACTCCTCTGGTTTAAACAAAAAGGCCTTTCAGTACAGTACACGCCTGTACTGAACGAATTTACATTTTAAATATGTAGAATACATTCATTTGTCATGTCAATATTATATGATGCCATAAAGAAAGCCTTTGCTGTTCTCTGCGGTGGCTTTGTTTACTGCTCTGTTTATGGTAACACACAGAGGGAAATTAGCCTGCGAGGCAATGAACAAAAACTACAGCTATCCTCCTTTCAGCCGAACGGTTTTGTATCTAATAAAGAAAATAGGATTTGTGCTGTAATAACCATTTGTGTTCAACAATTCAAGAACTCATTACTGCTCATGTAATGCTATTTTAAAGACACGGGATCTTCGCAGGCATTTCATTTACACTTTAATTCTAGCTACTAAACTGCAAGATATTATTTCCCACAACTTTGCACGACGCTCGGTACCAGTAATATGCTCAGTGAAGTGTTGAATTTACTTTGTTTAATACTTATATCCCCTCTTATTTCCTTTGGGAGTTTACTGTCGAGCACACTGGTGAGCCTGAGCCTCCACTAACATTTCAGATGGTTTATTTAGGTCCCCCAGATAGAATGTCACAGTGTCGGTGCCACGAAAACCAGCAACCCCTGACCAAGAGCGGCTGTGATTGGCTGTTTCCAGGTGCAGTGGAGCTCCCCTCCTATCTGGTTGGCTGCTTTGCGATGGACCGGATTGGAAGGAAGAAGACCTGCGCTCCCGCACTGCTCCTGGCCGGGGTCGCCTGCATGCTCATCATTGTGGTGCCAGCTGTACGTACACAGATTCTTGGAAAGAGTCGCTGTCTTGTATCGCCGTGCTAGCGCTTCTAAATCGACACACCACAAGTCTTTCAGGAATTTTCTATCTTTGTTCCACATTCAGCTGCATCATGACGTTTTTTTTTTGTTCTGTAGCGTTATAAACCCAATGCATTTGTTAGTTTCTCTCAGCAAAAAGAAAAACATCCACTAAATTTACTCACCACAGATTTACATGAACTCTCAGTTTCAGTGCAACTATTCTTCAAGGAGCTCTGTGATTGGTCAGATCCTGGTTTCTGAGCTTTGTGTGAGGGACCAGGCAGAAACAGGAAGTGTGATAAGGAGTGATTTTGACTTTATTTTCCGCACTCAGTCAGTGCGTTTGGACTGTGAGTCTTGAGTTTTTTTGCCGTGCGCTAGCAGACTGTTGAGCTTGCAGTTCCCGACGTGTACGTGTTCTGTGCTCTGACCCAAATTAATCCCGCTTATGGTTGAGTTGGCAGACAGCTGTTGCTTAATGTCCAAGTAAATATGACCCTTGACCTTGGGAGTCACGCTGAACAAAGCTTAACAAATGCAAGTCGTATATCTTTTTCTTTCCAGACCCTGTGTCTGTGCAGTAACGTCTGCATTGCTCTGCAGGAGGACACACCTCAGTGATTCTGCAGACTCCTGCACAACACAGTGCACGTCACTGTTTTCGGTAAATGTCAGGAAAATTCTTCAGTGGAGTCCGAACTGCTCCAAATCAACACACAGAGTCGTCTCTTAAGTCAGAGCAATGTCCGACTTGCAGCAAGGAGCAACATGTACAGTCCAGAGTCTGAACAAGTGACATCAGAGTCAAGAAACGCTGCAGCATTCATACAGGCATGCAAAAGATTTCTGCTGAGCACAGGCTTGGATGCTTTTTGCTACTTCTGTCTATCTTTCACGGCCTTCTGTATTTCAAGAGTTGGACGAAGAGCATTGAGTCATAACATAACACACTGAATTTTTATAACAGTAAACCACATAGACAGATATAACTCACCTTGACAAGCTTTCCCAGGTTATTAACTGCAGAGGAGAAGAGAACGAAGCAGAATGCATGAGCTTGATATCCAGTGGACACTCGGTTACTTTTATTATCCAACATGGAAGTACTCATAGTTTCCCCTTTTATCATGATTTTGCTTTTAAATTCTGTTTGTCTGCCTTGCAGTGCAGCTCTGTATTAATAAGGAAGGTGCAAAGAGGGGGAGTAGCGCTCTAAGCCTGATTTCTATACCTGTTACAGTGACTTTATGTACAAATTAGGCAAATACAACCAGGGATTTTGCTAAGCTTTCTAATAAATCGAGCATCTGCACAGGCTGGAAAAAAAAACCCCACTTTTGCCACAACCTACCACTTGTAGAAACATTATCAGACAGAAGCTGTAACAGTCCTGTGTGCACCATCTGATCACCATGTCCTCAACGCCGCGGAGGTCAGGTAGATTATTTACTGAATAAAAGAAGGAAATGATGAAAAAGATGTCTGACTTCAGTACAGCTGAAAATAAAGATTGTCGGACTCAGAGCAAATGATTAAATAAGTCACTTCCAGTAGGATGACCTCACGCCGCCTCCCTCGTCTCTCTGGGTATCTTTCACATTGAATGCTGTGGCCAGGTGCTGCTGTCTGCATCGATTGCGTCATAGCGACAGGCTGAGTTATAGTTCTGAAGGCAAGATAAGCACTGGAGGTCTGTAAATCATAACTCACTCCCCCCCAAAAAAACCTGGACTGTAAGTAGCACACTATCATATATATACACATACAGTCCCATGTGGTGTGTAGCAGCTGATGCAGTACTTCATTGTAACTGCTGTTAACACACACATGTGATACTCACACAGACATAAGAAATGTCTGCATGCACAAATATACCCTCCACACATGCATGTGTATATACAGAATTGTCTTTACTCCTTGCATATATCGCTTTTAGATGTATCGTTTGGTATGTATTTGTCAATAAGTGCTTTTTGAATACTGTCTACAAGGCTGGAGTTTTGTGTTGTGACCCTTGTGACACCACTGGACTGATTTGTTTCGGTTGCAGTCAGACTGAGTTCCACTTCCTAATGCGAACCAGTCTTTAACTTGGCAAAATTTCCCGTCATGACACAGAGCGCTGTGTTGTCGTTCATGTGACACTTGAACCAACCCTCTGAACCCCAAAGAGTTTCTCACTGTGGGCATTTTTTTTCTTCTGCATTACAAAGTCCTGCACCTGCACAAGAAGTAAAAAGAAAACTAAATATGTTTTCTGTGCAGTATAACAAAGCCACACGGCTGCAAATCATAAAAAACAAAAGTTGAATTATTTTACCAGAACTAGAAACACCTGGAACCAACAGGCGAACCAAACAGGTGAATAAAGCCTGAAGCTCAGCCCAGTTTAGCTGAAAAGAGTTTTAGTCGCGTGACTGTTGGTTACAGATTATTCATCATTGATTTATTATTTGTGCATCACATGATTAACTCAGGGACCATCGAAGGTTGAAAATCTGATGACTCCATCTGTTTTTTACAGTTGCTGCCTCTGATAGATGGAGTTTTGCCTTTTTTACCCACCTCAAGCTAGCGGTGCAAAAAGCCAGTGATAAGGACCCATCCACTGCATCGCCTCATGTTTGGGTTTTTAAATACAAGGATGCTTTGAGACGTATATTTGATCGACACACATGTTTGCATTCATGTCTGCACAACCAGGTCCCACGAGAGAGGGAGAATTCATTCAGTTATTCCTGAGCTAAAACTATAATGATGAAGTAAATGAGAAGTAAAGTCACTCAGGGAGCAATGATTCATTTAGTTTTATTGGATCTCTTAAGAGAAAATGTTATGAAAAGTTAATCACGTTAGCATGTACTTAAGGCACTCATCCGTGGAGTCATCGCTTTCGCTTGACTATTAATGGACTCGGCGGCCTGGTGGAAGGTCAGAGAGCAATATGAGGAAACCAGCTGTAATATCATTTACTCACAGGAACTTACCCCCTTCAGAGCAAATCATATGCAAAACAGCAAACCAGAGCGACCTTCTGTGTTATGAAACATGGAGAAATGTCAGATATTTGTGTTAAGGATGTGTGTGTGTGTGTTTTCATGCCTCATACCTTCCCATCCCTACAGGACATAGAGGCTCTGGCCATCGCTCTCTGCATGACGGGAAAGTTTGCCATTGCGATTGCCTTCGGTCTCATCTACCTGTACACCTGTGAGCTTTACCCGACCATCATCAGGTGAGGACAAACGCGATCAGAACATGGAAGCGAGAGCAAAGTACAATAGTGCTCTCCAGTACACTCATCTAGACGAGAATCCATCCATCATCTCTACACCTTAATCCTCACCAGGGAGCTGGAGTCTATCAAAGCTGACTCAGGGCGACAGTCCCACAGTCCAGAAACATGTTGAGGTTAATTGGTGATTCTAAATTGTCCGTAGGTGTGAATGTGAGTGTGCTTGGTTGTCTGTCTCTAAGTGTAGCCCTGTGATAGACTGGTTACCTGTCCAGGTGAACCTGCCTTCACCCTGAGTCAGCTGGGATAGGCTCCGCCCCCCATGACCCTAGAGAGGATTAAGGTGTAGAGATCATGGATGGATTGTATGTATATTGTGATATCAATAAAGTTTTGAGAAGATACACACTTTATCAAGAATAAATCACGTTGTCATTTCATGAGATGAGGTTTAAAAAAAGCAGCAGTGTGGATGCATTTGTGCCTAAATTGTAAATTCAGCTCATTGTTTCTCATTTTAATTGACTAATAGGGGCGGAGATGATGTTTTCCTGGGGTTGTGCCTCAATATGTAATTATTTCATGGTCTGCGTTACAATTAAAATGTCTTTCCTGTGAGTTGATTCTATTCATTCTTGTTTAAAAAGGAAGCAGGTTTTTCTGCCTGTAATTAACTGAATGGCTGACCTGGACCTGTTCCTCCTCCAGGTCTCTGGCAGTCGGCAGCGGCAGCATGATGTGCCGCGTTGGCAGCGTGGTCGCCCCGTTCTGCGTGTACCTGGCTGATGTCTGGGTCTACCTCCCGCAGGTATACACGCTCATGTTTTCTTTTGGCGGATCCTCCTCAGAACAAGTCGCCTTTTCACCACGTTCCCATTCATCATAGTTTATCGACAGCAACACTAATCCTAACAAATACATTTTTCCTTTACTCATCACAACACTTGGTTGCAGCTCATCGTTGGAATCCTGGCATTCATTATCGGAGTGCTGACAATGCTGCTGCCTGAGACCCTGGGCCAGCCTCTAACAACCACCTTGGAAGAGGCTGAATCTCTGGGACGGGCGCCCAGCAAGAAGAAGTCGGCCCTGGGCAGTAGAGAGGACGAGGACGGGCTGGAGCTGAACCAACACCAAACCAAAGCTTGAAACTGCAGGAAAACTGGAGAGACAGAAACATGGGGAAACGCTGTGGAAAAAAAAAGCTCAATGGAGGAGGTGACGGCTGCCAAAAACCTGAAACAATAACATCATTGATTTATCGGATTGTTGGGGGGAGAGAAAAGAAAAAAAAGCTTTTATCACAACTCTTGAAATGACTTCTTTCGTTGTTGTTGTTGTTTGTTCTGCAAAGTGACCAACGGTTCAGAACTTTGAAGGTCCCGAGGACTTGCACAAACTCTCCTGCATGCACGCAGACCGCCGAGCAATCACAGCAGTTCATGAATTCAGTGATCAGACATATCGTGTGAAACGTTTCTGTATGTGTGCTAGCGTGTGTCCAAGACCAAGGGAAAAAAAAGGAAGGATACGTTCATCTTTTGTCGTATTTTTGTAGGTTCGACCATCGTTTGTTGCGGTTGTGTTAGCATTGCACTCACCAAATTAATTGCTGGAAGAGCAACTTTACTGCAATCAATCAGACAATCAGATGGTTTAACGAGGTTATCTAAACGGAGGCAGAGCAAAGATGAAACACGTTGGACTTTAACTCTCATGTTTCTCGCCCTTTTGGACTTTTAATTTTGCAGCGTTGCTCGTTCCTCAGTTAGCTGCTGACTACAGTCTTATTATTACTAACAGGACTGATGGTCGTAGCTACAAATTTGTAACACCAAAGCTTTAATCAACAACCTGGAAAACAAAGAAGTCATCGTGAGCGAACTGCTGCGCCTCACACATTTTACATCTCATCTATTTAATCCGTCGAAACGATAGAATTTATTATTCTAATGCCAAAGAAGTGCCTGTTTAAACATTTAAAGTGGCCTTCTTTAAACTTCCTGTTTAATCTCAGGGCGCCAGTATCACTGTGAAACGATCACTTTCAAGATGTTTTAATTTCACCCTCATTTCATCCTTAATTCCATCTCGTTGAAGATGCTGAGCTTTAACTTTTTTATCTGACGTATGTGTGTGTGTGTGTGTGTTAGTGACTCACAGCTTTGTGAGTTAGTGTCTTAGTGTTCTTTTTGTTGTGTATTCACAATGCTGGACGTGCTGAAGAGGATCAGGTGATGCTGCATTACTGTGTTTCGGCGTCAAGATGTGCTATCCAGATGTTTGGACCAAATGCAGGAGTAAACCGCAGTAGTGTGGAAACATGAATACCTGCTTTGCAATGCTGTAGTACGCCACCGGCGTGTTTCATATCAACACCATCGCGTGGTGCTTTATTCTGAAAAAAAAAAGCAGCTGTTAATCTAAACCTGATGACGTCTGATCAGCAGGTGATGGAGTGTTCTACCATCAACAGTGTTTTCTATGTGTAGTGTCTTTGTTAGTGTTATTTTTATTTCATTATGGAACAATAAATGAGATGGCTGAGGTTGTTGGCCTCTTCATTACTTCTCCCTTAAAGCTCTTTCCTACGTCTTCTCTTTGTCGTAGTGCTGAACTTGCTGTTTGAGTGCATTCGTGCCGTACAGCGAGTGCAGAGCAGGTTTGGGAAACGGCTTCCTGTTTGCTGGTGGAGAGCCGGTCCCTCTGCACCGCCGGCCCCATGAAACCCCTCTTTGTTCAACTTTTTTTTCAGAAGAAACTGCAGCTGGATGACAAGTGCATATGTGTGCGTGCTCATGTGGATGGAAAAATTCAAGCACTGTACTTTGCTTGAACCTTGAGCCTTTCCTGCGAATGTGAACTTTCAGTTGTGTCGCGATGCTGATGCCACAGATACTGTGGTTGTGACAGGAAACTGGACTGAAGCGTCAGTAATTCCCCTCCAGCGTACGTGTGTGTGTGTGCGTGTCTGTGCGTATGTGTGTGTCTGTGTGTGTGTGTGTGTGCGTGTGCCCTCTTGTATGTTGTTGAGGAACAAAATGTTCAAACAAAAAGTGACCCACTTTTTCAGACGGCAGCGTGCGACTCAGGGCTTGATGTTCGGGTTGAGATTAGAATTATTTGAAGGAAAAGTTTGAAACACATTGAAGGTCCTCACAAGTATAGTACAAACCTACATCACAGTTGTAGTTCTGCAGCTGAAAACTAAATGTGTGTGTGTGTGTGTGTGTGTGTGTGTGTGGGTTATGCATCCCAACTTTTGCTGAATAGACCTTTTCTTGGCTTTTCTGCACACTTTTGGACTTTTTTTTATGGACTTCCATTTAGTTCCTGGAGACCTGCTCCAGCCATAAACGCTACCTTTCTAACCTTTACCTTAACCATAGCTGTAAGCTCGTGTTGTCCAAAGCTTAAAGCGTGTTGAGGTTAAATGATGTGTAGGGGAAGCAGATCCACACAATGTGACAGATTTATGTCCCGACAACAGAGTGAACACAGCTGCACACACACATATAGACACTCACTCATATCTTTTTACATGCTGGCATTAAATATTTTATGGTAGTGGATGTTTTAGAGCTACATTAACTGAATGTCATTGCTGTATTTTTTCGATCTGAAAATACTATTTTCTGGTCAAATTGAGGAGTTAAATAGTTTGAAGTGATCCACTTATTAATATGTACTGGGGCTGCACGGTGGCTCAGTGGTTAGCACTGTTGCCTCGCAGTTAGAAAGTCGCCGGTTTGCGTCCCAGTGAGGACATCCAGGATCTTTCTGCGTGGAGTTTGCATGTTCTCCCTGTGCATCGTGGGTTCTCTCTGGGTTCTCTGGCTTCCTCCCACAGCCCAGAAACATGTTGAGGTTAATTGGTGATTCTAAATTGTCTGTAGGTGTGAATGTTAGTGTGCTTGGTTGTCTGTCTCTAAGTGTAGCCCTGTGATAGACTGGTGACCTGTCCAGGTGAACCTGCCTTCACCCTGAGTCAGCTGGGATAGACTCCAGCCCCCTGAGACCCTAGTGAGGATTAAGGTGTAGAGATGATGGATGGATGGATATGTTCTGCATATCAATGATGCTAAAACTTATTGTGGTTATTATCCTTAATGTGAAAGCTGCTGTTATAAAAATTCAGTGATGTTATGATTCAACGCTTTTTGTCCAACTCTTGAAATGCAGAAGGCCGTGAACAAAACCTGCAAAAAAACAACCAAGCCTGTGCTCAGCAAATGGGAGCAGAGGAGAAATCCTTTGGTTACCTCAAGTGAAGCATTTCACGATTGAGGCAACAAGACCGTGGAAACTGAGCCCATCAGCTATACTTGCTTTATCCTGTAGAGGGCCGCGAGGGGCTGGAGTCTATCCCAGGTGAGGTTGGGCGAGAAAAAAAAAACGACCATGCATGCTCACATTCACACTGACGGCCAATTTAGAATCATCAGTTAACGTGTGTTGTGTATTTTTAGCCCCACGCAAACTGTATAACTTTATAAATCATAAGACAGGAAGTGCTGTCCTGCAGGAGACGTCGTTTAAAAACTGGGAAGCTGGAGGGAAGATAAGTGTTGGACGGGCTGCTGCAGTGAAGGGAGAGAGCTGCAAACGTGATGAAAGCAGACGGACCTGCTGGACCGTGGTCTGACAGAAGCAGGAAACCGGACATGCACGGCATCACGGGACGGTTCAGACGAGGCCGGCTGCAGCGCTAAATACATGACACGCTTTTCAGTCACAAACCACCTTCGAGTAAAGCAGAGACATTAGCTGCAATAGTTAGAGGACATTTATTTTTTGAAGACTGTAAAATGACGGGCTGCATTAGTCGTAGTTACCAGTTTTCAGCTGCTGATATAAACCCATTCCAGACACCCTTAAAAATGCCAAGAATCGTCTCATAGCCACCAGAAACCAATGGTACAAATAAATCAAGTTATTAAACAATGTTTTCCTTCCTGAGAATTTTTATCTGGAATGCAAATGAATACAAAATAATAAATTAAACTGGCAAAAAAAAAAAGGAAAGAAAAAGACAGAGGGAACACTGAACACAAACCGTAACAAGGAACAGACAATGAAGATTAGGATGGTAGAGTGAAATATGTAGATGACAATCACATATTAGCTTATGGTTACGATTCTCTGGATGATTTTTCTTTTTTTTTTTTAATTAAAAAAAAATAATACGCACTCCGAGTAGCTGCTGGAGAAATTAAGACATTAGCTGGGATTGGCAAAACTTCACACTCAGTTGGACAGGAAAAGCCTTGGACAGTACGGAAGCCCGGCGGAAGTCAGAATCCAGTTGTGACCAAATCCCTCATTTTGCTGCAGAAGTTCAGGAAGTGTCACTTCACAAAAAAAAGTGCAGTGTCTTCATACAGTTTTGTAACGCGACGCAGTAGAAACACTGATATTTGGCAAGCTCAATCTTTTCAACTTTGGATTACAAATTCGGCTCCATAAATGCTTTTAGCGTTTGACCCAGGCTATACTTTTTTTTTTTTTTTCTTTTTTAAAATTTTTAAATAACAAAATGACCTGCCCCAAATACTAAATCTATGCTAAGATACACTACTGGTTTTGGTCAAACTCAATCATTCATGCACACATAGTTGGAATTCTTTGAATTCATAATTGAGTGCTTACAGTATAACCCTCATTTATACCTAACGACAGTTTACAAATTAAACAAAATGTTATAAACCAATACTCTAACTTGACTATGTCACACCTCCACCAACTGTGCACAGAAGTCCCCGTCACACAGTTACTGGAACTCTTAATGAGGTTTGGCACTTACAACAGTCCTGGACGACTAATATACAAACTTATGGCACCTTTTAGAAAATTCATGAACACCGTGTCCCAATCCAGCTTTTTTGGGACATTAACCCTTTCATAAAGCGTGAAACTCTCTCTTGGGCAATGTCTCTGAAGATGTCTCCTACAGTAAACACACCAGCAAACCAACATGTAGTACATTTCCCCACACATCAATCTGTCCACGTCTTGCACTAATCTCTCCTGGAGATTAGAGCAATATTATTTGTTTGTTTTTTTTGTAACATGAACCCTAAAACAAGCTCAAATTAAAGCAAAAACTTGACTCAAGCAGATTGAGCTTAATAATAATTCCCATTGTCCTTGTTTGATTTTTTTTTTTAAATAGAGCATTTTGTCCTTCCAATTACTCAACCCTATAGTCCTCAGTGCTGAGCCTGTCATGATAGGAGTCAATGGCAGATGGGAAACAGAACCCGCCAAAAACACGAGCGTCAGGATCCCCTCAACACGCCTCACTTCTCTTGGGAATGCCGAAAGACGGGGGAACACTCCTCTTTGCCCTCAGGCTGCCTCCAGCTATCTTCAGCCAATTCTAGCCAAACAGCTTCTCATTGATTTATTTTTTGGGATCTGTACGGCCACATCCGCTGTTCACCAGACGGCCTTTAGGGATGGACCAGCCAGCTGTTGGCGTCCTCCAGGTCCGTGTCCAGGTCCTCGTCTTCATCCAGAGGCTCCGGGGTTCGGAGGGCCAGTTCTCGTAGGAAGGCCGGCGAATAGGCCGGGGGCTGGGACACGGACTTGAGGCCAATTTTCTTCTTCATGAGGTGGAACTGGTCGCGGATGAAGTTGTAGAACTCGTACTCGTAGCGCATGCGGTGGTACAGCACCTGCAGGGCCTCCAGAGTGGGGGTGTGTTTGCGCACTGTGCCCGTCATGTTCCCCATTTTCCTGTAGTCTGAAGGGACAAGAAAAAAATGAAACACAAAGAACAAGAATTCAGTCGCAAAGTAAAATCCAAACACATGTTCTGTCACACTGTGATGCGGCTCTATGGCTGGTTCATGATGGTGCCTAAAGGATACAGATCACAACTTTAATGATCTCATGACAGGTGGATGTTTTTAGTTTTCTGTTAAAGAGCTGTTTAGACCAGAGAAAAGGCATTCAGGTTCAAAATATTCAAAAACGTTGACCTGAATGCTCGTATTGATGTCACTGGGGTTTGCAGTAGTGAAAATCATCATCCTCTAATGTGCAAATAACAGCCTGTGATTAATTAGGAGCCAACAACTACAAAAAACATCAAGCAAAGGGGGAGCAATAAGAAACAATAATGGTCTGAGCAGGGAGGGTAACAGTGGTGGTGCATTGAAAGGCTCTAAGCTACTGAGCTGACCAGCTGCTGCACTGTGAAGAACACAGGCCTGGTGGTACTATGATGGAAAGGCAACGGGGTGAGGCTGTAGCCCCTGAGTACTTGTGCATATGTTACAGTAGGAAGCACAATTTCTTCTTTTTTTTTTTTTTCTAATTATTCTTTTCTGGCCTTTTTGCCTTTATTAGTCAGGATAGTGAGAGAGTGAGACAGGAGAAGGGGGAGGACCTTCAGCAAAGGGTTGACCATGGCCTTCAACTATAGCCTTGTTCATGGGTCGCCCTGCCCAACTAGGTGGGCTGTAGGGGCGCCCCACAATTTCCGAGGGGTTCAGTGCCAAAACAGACCAAACCACAGAAAGTCCAAAGTTAAGTTTTATGGTTTTGTGATAAGTGTTTATGGTCTACTAGTTTGTGGCGAAGTGGTCTGACCAACAGCCCACGAGTACGTCACAATGTGACTTTGAAGTTCGGCCCATTATGGTTTTGGCACGAAACTTTAGTGGCACAGGACTTGTTGACCATTATATTGCTGGAGCAGGTAGCTGCACGTGTTTGCGATTCAGGATGGCGAACAGTCAGAAAAGTCAACTGGTAGGGCCGGTAAGGGAAAATAAAAACTTAATGAACCACCACCAAGCATCTATTTCTACCCCATGGTCCTCAGAAGTACCTCCAGTTCCTCATGATGTAAACTCGTCAGTGTTGTTTAGCAAGAAGAACCTGGAATCAGTTTTTTTTTCTCAAAAAGTAGAAAAAGGCACTCAGCAAAAGGAAAGTCAAACTTAAAACTTCAATAAGTCATCATAGAGCAGCTGTTTCTATCTCTGGATGTTGAGAATGACGCCTCCAACAACCAGGATTGTTTTTAGCGAAACATTTTGAGCCCATTTTTCTCTAAAACTAGTAAATGTGGTTTGGCCCATTTCAGCTTCCTGAAAAGAGGATTAAAACAGGTCTTAGACATTCATATACCTACTTCTAATAGGAAATATTGTTGGATTTTGAATTGGGGCCCACTGGGACTACTGGATGGATTTATTGTACAGTGAGTGTATCTGAGAACTGAGCGGTTTTAAATCAGATTGACATCTTTGGTTCCTTGCACCACAAAGGAGACCAAGCAGGCAGCATGTGAGCTGCCTTTTTATTAACTAGTAGACTGGATGAAGACATTTATGCTTCTTCAGGGGAACACATCAGCAGGTCAACTTTTCTTTGTGTCCAAAAACCTGTAAAACTGTCAACATTCCCAGCTGCACTTAGGGTTTAGTTCCAAGTCAGCATGATGAACCGTGAATCTCCAAACCAAAGTGTCCTTGTCCCTGAAAGCAAACAGCCTCAGAAAGCTGCTGGCAGACGCTCTGTGTTGTCTGACTAAAGGAAACTGAATGTGATTTTTTTGGAGTGGGCACCTACCAGGGCTCTTGTAGATGTTGAGCACTCCAGTAAAGTAATGCGGTAAGAGCCTCTCCAACAGGAGTAGAACGTCCTCCAGCTCCTCCAAGATGCCCACCAGGAGGTAGTTCTCCAGCACATTCTGCTTGGCCCTCTCCAAAGCCCACACTCCTGGCTCTCTGCAGGAGAGGGAAGGAAAATTATAAGAGAGCAGCTTTACTTGGCAGAGAACATGAAATATTACTGCTTTTAATATCTAAAATAGCAAAATGTGTTTTTTATTTTTCCATAAAATCGATAGAACCCTACCTGCACTGAGGATGCTGTCCACAGAAGTAGGGGATGATGTAGAAAACTCTGGGGTTGGAGCACTCAGGGTAATTCTCTAGAATGCACACGTTGATATCCTGAAAGCAGACAAACACAAACCTGTTGAGCGCAGTGCAGCGGAAGAACAGAATCACAACCACTTGTTTCTGCCACTAGAGGGAGCTCTTCACTCGCACTGCTGTGAACTCACGTGGCTTGATAGTCATCGTTTGAGAAGCCCCAGTGCTTTGCAAACAACATCCTGTGCACAAAGATAAGCTTCACCTCAGTCGGCCTCAGGAGCTGAGATACCGAAGAAGAAAACGCAGAATGAACTTGAACAAAACGTAAAGACTTTCATGATGAGGACGACAGAGTGATCAGCTGTGAACTTTGAAACACCCCACGTCTGAATGTGGCAGCCATTAAGTAATGAAACAGATTAAAAACACACATGCAGGAGTGAAGCCGGCCCGCCAGCTGAGTGCTGCGGAGCCGGCAGTCAAATCCATGTCAGGTGACGTAAGCCTCACGGACGGCAACACACACACGAACGCCGTGACACGCCACACGCTTGTGCACGAGAAGGTGTTGACAGGCCCGTTGTATTAATAGAGATCTAAAAGCAAACAGAAAGTGTAATGATTACGTCAAAGCTTTAGATTTATGCCCCGATACGTTTGTAACGGCTGATCTAAACAGAGCAATTTGTCAAAGCCAACACTGAGGCCGGCGTGGTCCATCACAGAGATTAAGTCGAGTCAGACAGGACCCGAGGCCCAGACCTTCCCCGAGGACACGATATGCTGCTGAGGGTGTGACGTGACCGGCCTTACGGGTGAACACCGGGAGGAACCAAGTGACCCAGCTTGAAAAACAGACACTGACAGGGGAGCAAACACGTCACGGTTATAGTTTTAATTACCTCTTTTGCACGTGGAAGTGTGACGTAAAGATCGTTTTAATGCCTTTTTCACCTTCTGAGGCGGCAAACGGAGGCTGTCAGGTCATCTCGCTTTGAGTCAAATCGCCCCTAAAGCCGCACATTTGCTTCAATCTGCACGGATGAGGAAAAGCTCTCCTCAAAAACCCATTAACATGTAAAAACAAGGGAAGAAACAGAAGTGGGATCTCCCTGCCAGCAGAGACAGAATCGCAGCAGATGTCGCATGACTGGAAAAGCAAATTTACACAACGGGAAGGCAGAATGACACGTCAGGTAAATGGACATGAAGAAAAAAAAAAACCTGAACTACATCATAAAATGGATATTTACATATCTCGGCACAAGTGATTTCTCTCTACCTCGGCAGCAGTGACGGGCCTGCATAGAAATCTATATACATAAGCCGGGACGACATAAATTATTCACTTGCTCAGTTATTTTTTTCTCGCAGCTGAGCGCTGTGGTACAATTGAGTCTCTGATTCACCGAGCGGCTGCAGGGTTTGTTTGAACTTTATGACTGGCTTCTCTCAGCCGGCCGCACCACGCACTGGGAACGGGACTTATTGGTGATCAGTGAAGCAAACCACTGGAAGCGTCTTCAAAGAACCCACAACAAAACCCCAGAGGAACCTTTCAGAGACGGAGTTCAGCACCGTGCCATTGTTAGCGCTCAGGTCATGTCCGGACTTAGGAGAAGTTTGCTCTGCATTCATTTATGATTTCAAGAACAACTTGAGTTTCTTTATGCAAAGAGCGACGGTGTGAGCATATCAAGTGTTAGAAACGATGAGTAAATCTCCTTGTAACTAACAGATGCAATAAAAAAAGCGAAGATTGTGGCCGTGCAGTCTGTATGAGAAACGATAAGCAGGTTACAGCTGAGCTAACTTGAACAAAAACCATTACAAACCAAATTAGAAACACAGAAAAATAAGTGCGAGTCAATGTGAACCGGAAGTGACCCAAACTGACAGCGTTCAGGAAGTCCCTCCTCGACGACGCAGCACCCTCATGCTTCAACGTTTTAAGGGACCTCTGGGAATCCAGCCACAACGCATTTATATACAACTAAGCACAATCAAGTACGCGCACTCACGGACGGACAATATGCCCACTCTTTTAGAACAGCCCATTAGTATTTCGTGGAGAGCTCCTGTATGCACACTCGGGCTTATTGTTCCTATTCTCGCTGTGGATTAGGCCAACTGAGCAGTCACAGAAACTGTAGCAAAACAGGCACTAATCTGCACAATGCTCGGCCGCTCCACTCAATGGAATGTAGACAGGAATTAAATCAAGAGTAATTGATGATGCAAACTTTTTCCCGTGGGACAGTTTGCATCAGTTTTCAAGCGAGGAGCATGGGAGGAGAGCACCTGGGTCACGTCGCATTCACATGAACAATAACCGTCGTTTTTCTTTTTCTTTCTTTCTCTTTGTTCGTTTGCCACCTGGGGGCGGCGGAAACGAGCTGCAAACAGCAGGACTGACACAAGTTCACGTTCCAACCCAGTTCCTGATCATTTTTTCTTTGCTTCTGTTACATTTTCACTGACTTTGGGCTCATTTTTTTTCCTGCAATATCAATCTATGGAAACAGCACAGCCATGGCTCCAAATGGACAGAACTTCAACATGCTGCTTATGCAGAATGGCACAGTTATAACGCCATGCATCATAAGAAAGTTGGAAAGTGTATTTTAATGATACTTGACAACTTTAACTTTGTATTTGTTTCCACACTTGTCGTCCATCTGCGCTGCATAAACACAGCCTGCAGTTCAACCCAGTGCAGCCAAAAATAACTGGAAGCTTTTGTCATGTTACCATCGAACGCAGCTCAAATCACTAACGACGTCCTCGAAAACCACATTTTTCTAGAATCTTGTTGGTGCAAATGTTTTTAAAAAAAAAAAAAAATGGGGGCCGTTTCCCTTAACTAAAACAACAAAAAAAAAAAAGAAAAGAGGGAGAAGAACAGGGAGAGACCTGCAGCAAAGGGTCATGAGCGTTAGTCCAATCCACGACCACCACCCTGTTCGTGGGTCACCGCTCAGCTCGGTGAGCTACAGGGGCGCCCATGTTTGTACTTTTTAAATAAGAAGCGATTTTGGTGACATATCACGATCTCAGACTCAGCAGACCACATATGGGTAGTTCAGGGACTTGTCAAAACGTTTTAAACATCCACTGCTTTTGTAAAGTTTTTGGCTCTGACAAACTGTTAACACACTTTTCACAACTGCTGGTAGATTTTAGCATTCGGAGGTTTCAGCTTCACTGTCAGCAGTACGTTGTTCGCTGCCAGGCAGTAAATGTACAATCATTTTGATGAAGATCTTCAATGAAAACAACTTCAAACTATGCTGGTGGGAGAGGTAAAGAATATTATATATTTATGGGCCAAAAAAACGCAACAATAATGAAAGATGCTAAAAAAAAAAAAACTGTAGTCTGGTGACAATTTTCTACAGTTTTCACATGAAAACAGTGATTAAATGTGTTTTAGACTCATACTTCCTCAGAATACCATGAGACTGACATGCTTTTTCTGCATCTTAATAAAACACACACTCGGTTAAATAACACCTGATAGATGCCACCAGTGAGGCGGATGTGTCAGTTGAATATATTCATCTTCTTATGTGTGTGTGTGTGTGTCAACAGCGTTATGCACATGCTCTGATTAATCAGTCAACTGCCTCCAAAACTGCCTAAACGTACACACAGGACGCTATGAAATATAAATGAAACCAGATCAATGAAGAAAGAGATGGAATTTTAAATGCCACCTAAATGTAATAATAAAAGCCCCAGCTGACTGCACGCGCTCAGTACCGTTGGTGTTTATGTGTGTCCAACTGACCAGTGCATGCCTTTGTATAGTGTGTGTGTGTGTGTGTGTGTGTGTGTGTAAAAAGGGGTGTGGGGACTGACGGAAAATCCAAGCCGACCACAGGAATGTCTCAGTAACACGTGCATCAGGTTCCCCTCGGCCCCGGCGAGCAAACTGACAGTGTTCTTTCATTGACACCTCTCACATTCAGGGCAGGCGGTGCTAATGCACAGCAGGCAGGGGTACAGCCGCCGCTGGTCTGAACTCCGCCGTCGACACGTCGGGGAGCTCATGTGACTCTTTAAGATGCTATGCTTGTGAGGACAGTCACCTTCCAATGAAGGCTCAGATGACTACATGCAACGTCTGCTGAGAGTCGCAGCTGGGAAATGGTTGCTGATGTGTCTGCTGGACTCCCACTCACTAATCCTCTCCAACCTCCCTTATAAATATGTGGACAACTGCTTCCAACACACAAGCTCGCAGCTGCTGAGGCCTCGACTCTCTTATCCAGCCACTTGGCTTGGAAGCGTAATCCTTCACCCTTAAACCTTAATCCGAATCTTAGTTGTATCAAACACCTGAAGTTCTTGTTTAACATGTCAAACCTGTGAACCTCAAACCGAGCCGGCAGATTTCAAAGACATGTTGTTTTTTTTTAAAATCACCAGATCCACCACATTCATCACAGACAGAAGTTGTAAGAAAACAGAGAGAATTGGTGGACTTGTGTCCTCGAACTACTCATCTGTGACGCGCCATTCAGTCGGGGAACTTAAACAAAATCAAATTCATTTTACTCTGCATGTGTCACTGAAAAAAAATCTCCAAAAATGAAATCTTTGCTCGAACCAGATTCCGTAAAAAACAAAAAATTCTGCGTTTCTCGCCACAACCATGAATTTATAAGTGACTCCACTGTGACCAACATTTACATGACAAAAATTCAAAGACTTCTCAGCTAAACCGGGCTGAACTGCAGGAAAGCATAGAAGCAAGTTCAATATACTTGAGCACACCAACGTCTATAGTTTTCAGAGGCACATTTCCCCCCAGTGCTGGTTACACTGCTGGGCATATATATATGAGCCCACGCTGAATAAAAATGCAACAGGGGCAGAAACCACATAGAAACTGCTTCGAGTTCAGACGGGTAATGCACTGCATATTTACAGCTATCACACATCAGTTTAATTCTGGCCGTGACCCTGTTCATGAAGTTCCAGTGACGTTGTGTGCATTTTGCAGACCAGACAGTTTTCAGTGGATGTAAACACCACACGGACGCTCGAGCGGCGCATTCACGCAGCCCGTTTTTATAGATATGATTTAGCACATTACCGTGAGCTGTTTCTGCTGATTAGGTAAGCTGCATTGCTGCTGTTGCTGTCAGTGCACGGAAATAATACCTAAAGCAGCAGCGAAACACAATCACCGAGGAACGCTCGGCAAAGCACAACAAGAATCGAGTGTGAGACGGCGCCATCTTGTAGTTTTATGACAGTGACGTGTAGTTTACTTACACTTTGGGCAGTTAAACTGAACAAAAAGGAGACTTATAACACACTGCAAAGCTTCTAATTTTCAAAACTCGTCGTAGACAAACAACCAAATATCAACACTTTAAATGCAAAAGTTTTCCACAACTTCTGGGCCAGTCGGTCCCCGTAAGTATAGCAGTGTAACAGCACACACACACACACACACACACACACTCAGGTAAGTCAGCCTCCCCCCCCTTCAGCTGCAGCGAGGGGCCCCGTGGTCTGCATACTTTAATAACTCAACTCACATGGTCCAAAACTCCAGGGGAAGCAGTTGCAATACTTAATTACAGCCAGTCAGACTCAAGCCAGAGTGACATTCACTCGTCTTGTTAGCCTCTCAGAAAGGCCCTCTCAGCCCCCAGAGCCTCCGACAGCACCGTCGGAGCGATGACTGAGGTGCTCCCTGTGTTCGTGCCTGGCTACTGATTTGGTACTAAATCTTGAACAATTGTTTTAGCTTGTTGTTATTGCCAGAATTTTTTTTTTTTTTTGCCTGTTTCCCCCCTAAATTCTCATATGTTGTCTTCCTTCAGGGGAATTCCAGTCGTACATTGGATCCATCACTTCACTGCTAACAGCTCAGGCTGTGTTTAAGTAGCTCCTCTGCAGTGTAAAATGCACCCAAGATCAAAAAAAAAAAAATTAAAGTAAGCTTTCAAAAGGCATACTGTAACATATCAGGACGCGTTGCCTTCAGTCTGGTGCTACAGGGAGAAGCAGCTCTGCGAGGCAGATGTAGGATACCGACTTTCTGATGTGGTAAATCGGGCCTCTAATTGGAATCATAATCAGATTTAAATATTGGGTTAGCATCAGGCTGCCATGGCCATCCTCCCTCCAGCAACCCCACATATGGCCCGTCTTCAAAGCCAGCGCAGTGTGGTTCTGATATACTGCTTGTATTCTAGAATTTAGGGAAGTTTCGTTTCGACTCCAGATAACAACAAACAGATACAGAGACGGCAAACAAAAGGCAAATAATCAGCCGGCCGACAGGATATGTTCATGACAGCGGGATTATTTTCTCTCCTACGGTGTGTTTATACGACGTAGCACCGCGTTCGGTGTCATTTCTGATTTGTGCAAACATTCCTCACTGTACAAGCCTCTGTAATTACAGTAAAGGACGCACGCAGCGGAATAAGACATTAATACACAACATCTTAGTTCCTGTCTCCACCGAGTATCAGGTTATGAAACCAGCTGGCCCGGAACCAAAACGATGCGCATTTAAAGCACTGTTACTGGCAAAGTCGATGACTCAATCATAAAAAAACAAAACACAACTGTGCAGCTATGTCAAATACCGCAAACACATTAGTATTTCAAACCATAAGCATCTGTGGCATTGATTCAGCCACTGTCAATACGAGAGTAAATGGGCTTGTGGGCACTGGGACAGAGATAAAAGGCAGGCAGAGGGGAAGGAAGCCAAAAGATTCTGTATTTGTTTGACTCATTAAACAACATTGTTATGAAGCTCCTTACAGTGGGCGCTGCTGCTGCTGCTGCTGCTGCTCTCGGGATCACATGGAAACCAAATGTGGTGCCTCCCAACAAGCCACATTTGACAGCTTTGTCAGAGTCTGTTGCCTCATTATTCAGTTTAAATTTCAATCTTCAGCGTTTGTCAGTTTCGAGTTGAGTGAACATCAAACTGTTTAACCCCCAAAAAAACCATAGCAGCGGGTTTAAAAGGTGTGTTGTCTTTAAAAAAAAGATCGCCACAGCAAGAAACTGAAAGAACTGTTTCAACTTTTCTACGGTCCTCGAACTTCTCATGAAAACTTCTCAGGAAAATGAAGCAAATGGAAGCTTGGAATCGTCGTATTTCTTCAAAATCACTTGTCTCATTTTTAAAAAAACTGTCAAATATAAACACAATCCATCAACCAGATTCTGTAACAAACGAAAGACTCCTCAACACAACCAGAAGTCGATCAGTGAGGTGACTGTAGTGCGGCAACAACTCTCTGATTGTTGGGCTGAACTGGGTTGAACTGCAGGCAGTGTATTCAAATAGAGAAACATAAAGGAAGGACAATAAAACATACTTGGTCAATAATATAAATGTACAAAGGAGCAGCTTTATCCCAGTGTGAGGGAAAAAAACGAGACGAGAGCTGAGAACATCCTGAAATTGCTTCGGAATCAGAATTTTTTGTTCACTTTTAATGAAATGAAGCAAATCTATTCATCAGATTGTCACATTTGTGATGGGACGTTATTGTTTCTCTTATTCTTAAATCTGACTCAGTGTTACAGAGAAAAAAGACCAACAGTTTGATTAATTAGCTGTAACTCACCCAAACCTCAAGACACAAAGGCATCAAAAAAAAAAAAAGACTAAAGCAGGCTGCTTCTCAAAAGTCAGAAACAACAATTACCAAAACCACAAAGCTCTCACCAGGTATCTCTCGTCATCTTTCATCCCCGGAGTCCGGATGAGGTGGTTCTGCTCACCCCTCCAGTCACCGAAGCGACGGAAGAAATAGTTGGAGAGGAACCGGTTGATGGGATCCCGGATTATGTTGATGTAGACGGGCTGCTCTATCCTGAACCTAAAGAAGGACAAAGAGGAATGTAAATGAAGAGGTGCAAACACGCTGCTGTTGAATGTAAATGTGAGCTGATTCACTACCTGGTGAAGTTGAGGAAGTGAACATGTCGCGTGTAGAGAAAAGGCTGAGGGATGTTACTGATGTTCTTCATGAGATCCACCTGGAACCAAAACACACACACATGTGATCGGATGTATCGCACAGAAATAATACATTTAAAGCACATTACTGGCCATAAATATGGATAATCAGCATTAGCAGACAACAAATCTAACGCCAAAGACTTGAAGCTGAAGCTGTGCACCTACTACAGACAAACTGAAACCAAAACTTTCCATCCTGTGTGGCTGACTGTTTGAACTGCACGGATAAATCGCATTTTGTCTGTGGGTTTACACATCTGGCTGTGCCCGGGTTCGATATGAAGAATCTTCGAATGCGGACAAATTTCATGTTTCGTTCATCTCACAATATCCATCAAAATAGACTTCAGTTTCCCCAAGGTCATGTTATTCATAGGGAAAGCCAACATTTCTGACGCTCTTATTCCAAGATTCTTTATCCTCTGCAGGAAAAAAAATGTACTTCCCTCAGGTCTTCCAGGTCTGCATAGAGAGACGGCGCAACAGTAGCCAAAATAAACTCAGTAACGTACGGTTCAGATCCTGAGCATGAGCTGCAGCTAAAGCCCGATTCTTAGTCATTCCTTTTTGGTAAAACGCTTCCATATTGGAGCAATTGAGGACGTGAGATCCAGTTATTCCCAGTCACACATGTGAAAAATTAGCTACGATGCAAGTTCTGTCTCTGCATCGGTGGAGCGTTCAGTGTGTCTAATTTCAAAATAATAAAAACACAGAATTATGACTCAAAGCTCTGGCGGCTACTTGTGACCTCTGAGGACTTTGGGCGTCATTTTCTCTTGGATGTGAGATTTATTTTTTCCAGTAAGATATAATACTTTATTATACCAACTTTAAATCTTCTTTCCCTACATTTTCCTGTCAAGCAAAATATCTGGACATTGAAGAAGGTTATTCAAATGAGAATACGTATTTGCTGTGTTTGCACTCTCACTGCAGCGTGAGGAACTGCTGCTGCCGCTATCGTAACTGTGGTATTATTATCTTGAACTCTGTTACACAGTTTGAATTATGTGGTTTTGTATTTTTAAACCAAGTGTAATTGGGGCAAATGTCGTTAAAAGTACAGAAGTTCAAATTGGTTTGCGTTCCGGCTGGTGTTACTGGGTAAAAGACAGAGGAGCAGAGTCACAGGTTGGAGCTTCAGCTTCTGCCCCCCTAACGCTGTCGTCAGTGATGCTTCCTAATTAGGGTCCGAGCACCCAAAA